ATGATGTGCGGAGGGCGGGGAGAGGGAGCTAGAACTGGTTCTAAACGGCGCTGTAGATTTGTGGAACCTCTTCTATAGAAGAGGTTAGAACTGGCAGGAACCCACCCCTGATCTTACCCCACTCCTAAGAGATCTGTAAGGGGCGTGCATAAACGCACCAGCGTGCCTACCATCCCTGTCCTACGGTCTCCATTTATTCGTACACATTTACTGTGTTCATATTTATGTTTATACTTATACCTGTTATCTTTTACATGTTTGACAAACTAAAATAAATAAACAAAATAAAAAAACAGCTGCCATCCAAGAGGGTGCTGATGATGAAAGATGAAGACAGGGAAAGTTCTGCAGCTTGCCAGAAGATTCAGCTATTTCTTTGAAAACCTAATGGCATTTGCAATAGAGTCATTTTGACACGGTTGTGCGAGTTATGCTGGAATTCAATTAATATTATCCTACTTAAAATGTGACATTGTGTCCTCTAGTGTTGCTAATATATTTTCTGTCTTTAGGTATAGGCATAATTGATATTTTGTATTGATAAAAAAGGCAACATGCACAGACTGATTCATGTGTTTAGCCAGTATATCAAATTGTTAAATATCCTTGACCTCCCTTTGGAATGAAATGTGCATTACAAATGTCAGATATATTTATCATCAGCAGACTAGCAATTACACTAAGTGCTATGAAATGCAATCTCAAGATGAAGAATAAAACCAAATTCAAAGACAAAGTCTACATTCCAGTTTTAATGCTTTCTCATTTCAGTCCGTCTTCTCCTATTTGATATTTGATTAATATATTATTAATGTAGCTCCCAGAATGCCTAGCAAATAGGGCCTTAAACACTTAGAATTCTGGGAACAGCAAACCCAACACTGCAGAAGAGTGGAGAAAGCTGATTTAGTGCAGCAACAGGAGAGTCAAAGAATGACACAATGAAACTATGGCTCTATTTCGTGAGTCCACTTCATCTCCAGAAAAGTGGGAAAAAATTGAATTATCACCTACATAACAGATTAACATTATCTATTGATCATGCTAAGTAGTATATAATCTTTCTCTTTGCCTATATATTCCAGAAGTGAATATTTTTTGGAAAATCAAATTAATAGTATAACCGTGTGTTCTGACCCCCCGGCCTGTGAATAAACCAGAACACAGGCTTGGCTGTTTGCCACTGTTCAATTACTGAGATAACG